ACTTAGTTACTGCTTGATATAAGTTGCTAAGCCTTCAAAACATTTGTACGTGGAGAATATGAAACAAAATATTTTTTTTAGGTTTTATATATACATTTGAATAACTAAAAAACCATATATTAATACCATAGAATTCCACTATAATTTATTAAGCTTAGTAACTAAGATGTATTTTAGTCTAAAAAATATGGAATTTCAAGCAGACTAAAGATGCATCCTACCTCATTGATATATTGATTCAAAAGAAAGGAATGGCGACAGGCCCATTAAAAATGCTGTGAAATCCACTAGGGGGACATTCTGAGCTTCCAATTTGTTGTTCATGTCATATATAGAAGTAAATGTATAAAAGGGAACATTTCCAAATATGGAAAGTGGTGGGCAGGGTGCCACTGTGTTTGATTTATTACATGAGCAATATCTTAATAAACTGAAAAGATAAGAGGCTCTTATTTTGTATGCTAGCTTGTTAATATCGATAATTTGAGTTTCTAATTCGTAGAAACTATAGACTTAGTATTTTGACTTCACAAACATTTAATTTGAACAAGTGCTGCATTCAATATACCATGTGACACACAAACTTGATGTTTATCTGTGTTTTTTTTAATATTTGCCTTTAGATTAAGAAATTGAGTAATATATAGCACTAACATTTGAATTATAGTTTACAGTTTTATACCAAAGTTATTGACATAAATTCATGAAATAATAGTTCAATAAAATTTTGAATGCAAGTCAACAAACGAGATGACATGGCCTTTCACCCATGACCCATCTTGAATGGGTTAATAGTGAGAATGATAGGATATGGGTGTGCAAGTCAATTTTACTTTTCTAACAGTATTTGGGCTTTTGAAACAAGTTGTCTTTGGATATGGTGACTGCAATAAATTTAAAATAGCTTAAGGGAATGTATGACATATTTAAATGAACAAGACTGAATGGTTTTTTTTGTTTGTTTTTTTGTATTTGGATAGGTCAGCCTTGATGAACCAACGGACTCTTTATTGTCCCTTAAATTTTGAAAATAAATCACTGATGTATCATTTACTGTATGTGATTGAACGCTCAACACTGCGTACACTTATAATTGATTTTGTTAAAATCAGCTATGTGGTTAAAGACAAATTTTTGGCCCGACATATTTAATTTCTAAATATAATTATCTTAAAATATACTTTTGCAAATTCTAGTCACAAACAAAAAAAACATGTCTGGGCTCTTCAAATAAGAGGAGATAAAACATTAATTCTGTTTAAAAAAAATTCTTAAGTACACAGGAGATGCATTTTTGTGATAGTGAATCAACAAAAAGTAATATGGTGAACAGTAATGTGGAGAAGTAGGTCTCAGCATTACTGGATGGGTTACTTTTTGAAATAATATTTCCCCAAACCAGTTTTTAAATGTTTTCCTAAATACTATGCTCCCTAAAATAATTACATATTGCAAGTTTTTGGAGAAATATTCATACACAAAATAAAATCTGGCTTCATAAAAAAGAAAAGTATATGGTTTACTAAAAAGAAATTACATTTTATATATGTGAATTTATATTATTTAATCATTAATGTGACTTGTTGCATTAGAAAGAATGAAATTTATTAACTTTGGGAACTTTTCTCCACAAACATGAGAGTGGAATGCTATACAAGATTACCAAACATCTCGGTAAAACTGGGATTGTACCTGTTTTCAGCCTTTTTTTTTCATTATGATCAGAAATACTAAACGTATTAAACCATCCACATTTCTTAGTGCCTCAATGTTTTATACATACAGCTTGTAATTATATATGCCTCCTTTAAATTTTAATTGCAGGATTACCTTACATACAAAAAATATCAGATTATTTAGCAAATGGTATAAAGTGTGTTACTTAATCTGTTTCAGAATTGTTACAATGTCACTCTGTATCATGTGTGTATGGAACAAAAGTCTCAGTTCTCTTAATATGGAACTTGGTAACGTGTCTTATAGTTATAAGTTACATCATCTTAAAATTTTCGTACTTTGATATTCATGTCCAAGCGCCATGTCATTAACGTAAATGGCCAATGCAAGTCAGGAGACACTAGACGTGAATTTATGCTAGCACCTATGTAAGTAGTAACTCACTAACAGTGTTCTTACTCTTAGCCTATTTTCAAACTAAGGCAAATTCAAACATAAATTTACAATTTATAAACATAACTTGTGGGAATTTGTAGACTGACCAACTCTCATTTTTAAAACTATATATTTAACTTTAAGTTTACATTAGTATTTAATTCTTACACTTTGATTTCTAAAATGAAATATTTTAATTTTAATAATTGTAAAAAAATAATATAACTTTACCCAAGGCAAACAGACTACTCTGGAAGTTGCAGCCATAATTTTACTAAACTGGCTTAACTATGGAGGAGTAAAGGTCATACGTACATGACAGGTAGCGCTACTAACATTTTTAGCAATAATACTTTGTATTTATTTATAATTAAAATATTTAACCTCCTATTTAAATACATTTAATTATATACGAAAAAATGAGAATTATTTGACAAAAATAAGTTCACTCGAGCCTAAGTTTTAAGTAGCATATAAATTGGAATTTCGGTTCAAAATCAAATATTTTCTCTTTCGGTAATATCGATAACAAGTATCTTTAAAATTATTGAAGTGTTCCATTGTGATATGTACTATTTCTGAAAGCGCTCGGATTATCAAGTTTCTTGTTTTGTGGTTTATCAAAATTTCAAATTGCTGAAAATTAAAAGTTAAGTATTTTCATCATCTCCTTCATCATTATCTGACTTATTAGTCTCAATCTCTTATTCCTTATCTAGCCAGTACACGATAAGTTCAGTAGTGATGTACCGGGTTAGTTTTCTATGTGTTCAATGTACTTATATCTGCCACATGAATGTTGTAGCTGATAATTTGGTGAACTGAGCTGTTGTAGAATGAGCTAAGTATCGGTACAGTCAGAAACGAGTTATTTATGTGCCATAGGCATATACCAAAGGTATAGATATTCTGTGCTTGAGCTTTTGTTCATTCAACCTTATGATAGCCTTTTCTACCTAATGATATTCAGATTTATGTGTATCAACCATTCCATATATTCTTGCAGACACTGTGACAGACCATACATAACTTCTATAGAAAGTTGTATTTCTCTGCCAAATATTAGTATATTTAGCAAACAGTCAGTCATCTTCATAATCACATTTTTTGGATTGTGCTATCCATTACTCAGCCAATACATCAGCAATGGACTGTACTAAACTACCAACCACTGGGTAAGCTTTGCCTCACGTACTGAAGTAATCAATAACAATCAGCACATACCGATTACTTCATTCACTTCTGGAAGAGGTTGTACTACATCCAAGAGTATTTTCTGCTTTTGAAAACTAAGAAATATTTTTTAGATTTTACCATGTTTTTAGTGTTTGTGTTTATTCCTCTGGGTAGCATAAGAAAACAATATTTGTACCATTGTCTAAAGTTTTGATTTAAACGCAGCCAAAAGAACTACTCTGTGTGCTTGTACATTATATTTAACATTCTTATGGCCTCCAGATGCTCTGGAAGCAAAATATTTGTTCTCAGACATAGTATGACAGAAAAAACTCTAGCTGTAGAGATAGTTCTAGATACTTCTACGTTACTGATTATGCCAGTGGTTATTCCAGTGAGGAGCTTAACAGTCAAACGTCTATAATTACTGAACAATACGGGGACAGTGCTATCACTTGGACAGATAAATGTCCAAGCAAGTCAAGCCTAATTTCTGGACATGAAGCAGTATATTTAATGTGTTGGTTCCATCATCATAGCAGATAGTGATAATGTATTAGACACAGCCCATAATACACCACGGAACACCACTTATGCAACAGAGGTACTATGTCTTCATCCTTATCATAAACTTGTGCAATCTGTTGTTCTTTATCTTGATGTAATTAGCACTAGATAGTTATAATTCTGGAAGCACATCTCTCATGGTGTACGGGAGAAAGTGAATGTTCGTTTCCACTGTTGGTAAATCCCCAAGATCCAAATATCTGAAACTAAAATGAAAATAACTGCCAGTGGGTGATATTACGTAAACATACTTCAAAATGTGTCTCTTCAATCCCATTTATCAAATTACCATTCACCAAATAAAGTCAATATCAATAGGCCAAAGTAGTGGAAGGCCAGGCATGGCCTAGAGATTAGTGTACCATAATGTGATAATGAAGTTCCATGATTTGCAGCACACTGCCACAAAAACATGTTCCACACTTTTGGACCTGAAGTGTGCTATAGAAATTACTTCTTATATGATAATAAAGATTCAGGGATATGAAGTTCAGTTCCTGTTTAACACAAGAACCACCAGAGTCCTGATCGACGTTTTAGTGTTTCAGTCCCTCCAAATGAAACTACCACAGTAGTTTGTTTGTTTCAGAAATTATTGCAAAATTACAAAGGTGTTGTATGTGCTAACCCTCTCCAAGTTTGAACCAATGACTAACGGAAAGAAGACAGCTCGTCAATAGGACCACTTATTGACTCTTTGGATACTCTTGTCTCTCCATTTAGTGGGTCTAACCATTCCAACCAACCCTGAACGAGCTGGGCTATCCATCAGACTTTTGATACAAGATGACTAGTCTTTTCCTAAATTGATGCCCAAATCAAACTGGGCTCTATTAGCTTTCTGTATCTGTTGAGCAGTTGGGCAGAATTGGAAGTTTTATCAATGTTGCTGCAGGGCAATACATGGGAAGTTCACTTTATAGTACCTTCCCATCCCACAACCACCGAAGACACTTAGGTCTTCCCTCCTAAAAGACATCTGAGTAGAGGTATTGGCAGCACTTGTTGTAGTACCACCACTTTGGATGCCCAGGAAACTCACTGAAGCTATGTAGTGGTGCTGGGATGTGTTGTGGCTAGGTAGCTTTTCACGGAATACAAGTCTTGTATTCAAGAGGTTGGAGTGGTTGAAGTACAGCCCTGCAACTGCCAGTGTTGGCTTCTGCGTCTACCACGACTTGCTCAAAGTTACCACTTTGAGCCAAACCATATCACAAAATTTGTATTCCATTCCTTTCATAAAGTTATCTACGAGGGTAATCTTGTGATCTCTTGAGGACATGATGGGATATGCCTTCAGATACAGGCGATGCAAGTTATCTGAATAATTGGCCAGGTTCTCCTAGGCAGTGTTTCTAAAACACTTTGCCAGTCCGTGGGATTTTATGAAAACAAACAAAAACAAAACCTGACAGAATATTCATATATAAATTGTAATGTTTTCGTTGTATTTGCATTTTAATAATCTGCAATAGTTTATGGAGACAGCGAGCTGGCCCCTGGTATCTAAGGGATCTCTCTTATAAGCCTTGAGCTCAGTCCAACTCAGTTCTATATATAGTTAAAACAATGGAGTAACTTAGCTGCAATCATATCCTATTCATTCAACTGTTAGTATCAAAAATAATCATCTCTGTCTCCTGGAAACATTAAATAAATTGTTCCAGATTTTCCTTGGCTGTACCTTTGAATACCAAAGGATAAATCTTTTTCGCTTCACTCACAAGGTCCTATCACTGTGGAAACAAAACACCCCTAGTGCCATCAAGGACATAGGGTAGGGTTGATGCCGGGAGATACCTATGCTCAGAGTAACGTTTGATCCTTGCTTCCGGGCAGCAGAACTGTAAATTGCTATACGAGACTTGTCTCCCAGCTCTGTAAGATCCAAGATTCTCTATCCATTCCTGTGAACATCTTGAAGAAACTATTTTCTTGCTCCATACGTCACATCTCACTTGTTAGCATTCATAATTTCTCTTGCTGGTAAGACAGCTTCCACTGGTGGACTTCTTCCAATAATGGTCCCTCCAGTCTCCTTTGACTGGTTACAGGTGACAACGACCAGAGCTGGGTTGAACTACCCTGATCAAAAAGTTTAGGTATCTTATAGAGAATTCCTCATTTTGTTCCAGACCACCAGTTCATAAGTCAGTACACTGACCCTCAACTGTTTGTGCCTTCTGTGAGCCAGAGATATAACCTTGTCAGCAGCTCTTAAGGTCCAAAGCTGTAGTTCCCTTTGCTGAGTTTGCAGCCATATCGATATGGTATACATAGCCCTTTGCAATACTGTGAAAGTCTTTGTTCAGGTAAAAGACGTCTTCTGGACATCATTACTTCCTCACATTATGATGTACTTTCAGCTTTCAATTACTACTCTTGTACATAAGCTCTTCAACTGGAAACTTTAATTTCCAAGTGTTACCGTTGTACAAGTATGATACACAAGAGTACAAAGCAGCAATGATAAGTACATGTTGTGGGTGCAGCACAAAAGTATTACTTTACTTCCTTACTTTGTGGTATTCTGGGTTTCACTGATTTACCTTTTGAGTAGTAATCAAAAGTAAAGGGAGGAACAGTAAAGATGTTTATCATGGACTTAAAACAGAAAATTTGAATCGAGTGAGTTAAAGAAAAGAAGCTAGATACAATGTTAAATGAAGTAAAAATCAATATTTAATATGAAGAACAAGTCAAAAGAAAAGTGCATAGAATGTCGGACAACATTTATAGTTTACTGAAAGAGAGGTTCTGAACTCATTGTCTTATCTGAAGTAATTACGTTCTAGACTGAGAGACTATGACATTATAAGAACAAAATTAATGTCATCCCTCACGGAGCACAGGCCCTATCAACGTCATTGACTGTCCCAAATGTAAGTAGGGTGAATGTCACATCCAGATATTTCTGAACTCACAGCGATGTTACCAGATAAAGCAGATATATACTCCAAAATAAATCGGCCAAATTTGCGTGAGAAACATATAACAAATACCTACGTGGGTCATTCATCTTGATATAAGGTCAATATTGCACAAGGTGGATTTCTTAAATATAAAAATTTGAACATTTCGACAAACTAAACAGCTTATTTCCTTAAACTAATAAAATAAATTGTGGTACTTTTTCAAGTACCACAAAATTACCTTATTTTGATTTGATTTTTATATACTTACTGTTCTATTGTCCAATAAATTGCAGTTCTTCAACCAACTCAGTTTTATGTAACACAACAGCGTATAGGTTAATTAAGCTACCCTTACATTCTCGCCAGGTTTGAAAAGCCATTTCTGATACAAATAATTTCCATCATTCTAGATGCCTTCTTCTGAAACACGAGACTATATCTTCCACCCATTTACTCTCAGATATATGATACAGATATAAAATGCCTTTCCAAGCTCTTAACAAATTCATAAACAGTATGATCCCACCTATCATTAAATATTCCAGCAGGCAGAGGAGGGGGAATG